ACCAAACTTTCAGTTAGTGGCCGAGCACTTAACCATTGCACCACCAGGGCTTCTTAACACTGAACCTATGTACACGGTATTAGAGGAAGACATCGTATGTGTGTCTGCATGTGCTGGTTGGTTGAACAAAGACTTCTCTGAGATTCCGAGCTGAGGAAACTATTAAAGCTCAAACTGCTAAATTCCTACAGAGTCAACAGGAGGGACTTGTGGGCTCCACAGCCTCATGACTGACTTGGAAGGTCTCTGTGCCCTGGTACCAAGCAGGATTTATACCTGGCAAGGGGAGCCTTCGTCTATGAGTGTAACTGAGGAGCATGAGTGTGCTCTGTCTCAGGAAGCCCTCTTTGAATAGCTGTACAGAGCAACATTAAAAGTTGGTCACCCCTGGTGGGTATAATGCTAAGGGAAATAAGTCAAGCATATAAGGACAAATACTGTATGATCTGTCTTCTACAAGAAGACAAGAATAGATATATATAGAGAGACCAGTGTACAATGGTGGTTACTGGGGGGTGGCAGGGAGTACGCTTTAGACAATAGAGACTTGTTACATTTTTTTGGTGATGGGAAAAGTGGCAGTGAATGTGGATGTAGTGAGCGTAGCATGCCCAAAGTAAGAATGAGTCTTTGAGCACATATGGATGGATATAGGCATACTTGTATATGGGTAGGTACAGGCATGTACATAGGTGAGAACAGATAGAAGTATCCATAAGTACGTATAAATATAAATATATGGGGGCAGGCACATATATTCATTGAAGACACAAATATGGATATCCCACAAACATAACCAAACACCTTCTGAGATTGGTTTTCTGGATCTGAAAGCTTAGGATCATAGTCTCATGGGACAACTCAGTTAATTGGCATAAAATAATTCACAAAAATCTTGCTCTGCATCCTAGTGAACTGAGTAGCAGCTGGGGTCTTAAAAGCTTGCAAGTGGCCATCTAAGACACAACCACTCTACTCGCCAGGAGCAAAACAGTAAGAAGGCAACCAAAAGCTCAGAGAAGAAAGAAGTCTACATGAGACAGAACCTCATCTACGCTGAGACCAAAAGAACTAGATGGTGCCTGGCTACCACCACTGACCGTTCTGACTGGGGTTACAATAAAGGGTCCTGGATAGAACTGGAGAAAAATGTGAAGAACTCAAATTCTTATTTAAAAAAAAAAAAAAAAAAAAAGCGAGACAAACTGCAACAGCAGAGACACAGGACTCCCTGGGACTATAGCCCTGAGACATTCTTTAAATCTAAAACTGAGCCTATCCCTTGAGATCACCTTTTAGTGAAACAGCAGAGTGGCACACAATGTAAAGGATATTACCCATAAGATCAGTGCTCTATGTAAAAACCATCAGTACGAAAACAAAACGTTAACAATTACTCAAAAGCAAAGATGAGAAGATAAGGGGGCAGGGAAACTAGAGTACTGGAAATGGAACAAACAGAACACAATGAAAGAGAATGTTGACACACTGTGATAAATGTAACTAACATCACTGAACAACTGGTGTGGAAATTGTCAGATGGGAACCTAACTTGCTGTGTAAACTTTCACCAAAAACTCAATAAAATATTATTTAAAAAAAAAAAAAAGTTGGTCACCACAAACACAACCCTTGGCCTTTATATTGTCCCTACTTAGGAAGACTTTTTAAAAAATATGTAATTACATATGTCCTATTTTATCACTTCTGTAAATCATTATTTATAAAATGTCTACTATATACAAAAGTATGAAATCTGGTGCTGTCTAGTTAGACTGCGAGCCCCTTCCCAACAGCGGAAACGTCTTCACCAGCAGACCAGAAGCTCCCTAAGTGTGGGAAGCCCAAGTAAGATCCTGTGCTCTCAAGCTCCATGTCTTCTCCCCTCTCTGACTGTCATCCTCCTAGCTCCATCATCAGTGCAAATGACTCCCTGCTCATTCCAGAGAAAGGTAAATGCCTCAGAAGGGAAGACTGGCTCCCTCCCACTCTGAGCTGAGCTGCTTTCTACTTCTCACTCCAATCCCCAGGACTCCCACAGCTCACGCTGCCCTGGCCTCACCTTGGATCCTCAGACTCTCTTGATATTGGATGATAAAGTACTCTTGAGTCTGCTGCAGCTTCTTCAGCTCACTCTCTGTGTCCTGTGTGATCAGTCGCAGCTCCTCAAATGTCTGGTTGATCTGAAGGTGTTTCTGGGACATGGCATCAGCAAGGCTCCCGGCTGGAGAACTACCCTGGAGACAGACCAGGGGAAGAATGCAGGCAGCAGTGAGCTGGGTAGAGGGGATGGGGGCAAGCCTCAGGCCTTAGTCCCCAGGGAAAGCCAGTGCCAGCTTCTACAACTGAGCCACAGACCCCAAAACCTAAATGCTGAGTCAGAAGGAATCACAAACATCACTTGTCACAACGGGAGTGAAGTGAGGAGAAGAGGAGAAACAGGTGACCTGGTAGACTACAGCACTTTCATAAAGCATAGCAGAAGTTTCTATTTCAGAGCTGGCTCCCACCAGCGGTATCCCAAATACAGTCCATCTAATTTCCTTTCGAGAGACTAGAACAACTCATCCCCGGTGTCACCTGGGTTTTCCTATTAACAATGGTGTCCATTCATTTCGTGACTAATGCTGAGGACTGTGCTAGGTGTTGGGGTACAGTGGGGAATGAGGCTGTGGGAACACACATCATCTGTATCCTCACTCTAGACCTTCTTGTGACTGAATAATCTGCTTCCACCAAGAAACAGGCTGAACCTCTCATAGGCTTCCTGGAGACCCCAAAATGAAGTTATGCAGGTGAAATCAACAAGGCCTCCATGGACCCAGCCATTTAAGTGACCTGGTCTGATCCATTCCTTCAACACCTGGCTCAGAGGGGACCAAGGAGAAATCTGTCTCAAGTAATTTCACCAGAAAATGAGCATGCCTTTACTCAGAAATTATTCAGTCAAGGCTAAATTATTTTGTACTGTTCACCTTGTTCCGTGGTTGTAATCTCGTCCAGGTTATAAATCAATTAAGGTCAGAGACTACATTTTCTATTTTCTTGTTTCCCTTAGGACAATGCTCTGTTTATAGGGACACCAATAAATGCACATGGAGTCACCATCACAAAGTTGGGTCCAGAGAGCAGTAATAAAGGGTTTCCTGACTTGTCTCCCCATATCCATGGGACACTCACATTGTTGGCTTCTCGGACGAGCCTCTGTTCATTGTATAAGATGTGGCGGATGCATCGAACCAGCTCCATGGGGCAGCGGTCGTACGTGTTCTGGAAGAATCCAATCCAGACATCACTTTGTGTCACTCCATGCTATGGGGCCTAATCTGCCTCGGGACGGGGAGCTCTCACGATGGAGAAGACTCCTGGAGACATCACGGCACACGCATAAGAAATGCTGCTCCCCCAATACCAATGGGAACAAGAAGCGTGCATCTTAGAAAACTCAATTACAGTAAAAAAGTAAGATGATTTTATTCCTTGCATTTTCATTCACCTAAAGCACAAAGGCATTACTCTTGGAAACAGGCTAAGTAAGCTTAAAAAAGGCCACATCAGAGGAAACACTGGCCAACACCTTGACTGGGCAATCAAAATCACTGTCACCAGTGAGGGGAGGATGGACGTGGTATGTCTCCAGATATGACAGCTGAGAAAGACAACATCACTTGTTTAGAATTCCAACCAGGGATGCAGAACCTGAATCAAATCATGAGGAAACATCTGACAAGCTCAAAATGAGGAACGTTTTATCTTTTAAAAGCAGGGAGGGCTAAATTGTTAAAAAATGTCAATGTAATGAAAGACAAAGAGAGGCTGAAGAATGGTTCCAGACTAAAGGAGATGAAAGAGACGTGGTAACTACATGTAATATATGATCCTGGACTGGAGAGAAAAAATGTCCCTAAAGGACATTATTAAGTCAGTTGACAAAATGGAAATAGAGAAAGAAGATTACCAAAAGTATCGTACCACTGTTAAATTTACTGAAGTTGGTAACTACTGTTAATACATAATAGAAAGTTCATATTCTTAGAAAATGCACTAAAGAATTTAGGGGTAAAGGAACATGAGGTATGCAAGTTACTCTCAAGTGACTAAAAAACTGTGTGTGTGTTTGTAGAGGTGGGGAGTAAGGAAAAGGGAGAGAGAGAGAGAGAATGACAAAGTAAATGTTAACAATGAGATGATCTGTGTAAAGCATATATAGAAGTTTTTTGTATCATCCTTGCCACTTTCTGTAAGTTGGAAATTATTACGAAATAAAAAGTGAAAAAAAAAGAAGGCCACAAATACAAAATCAAACATAAAAATCTTATGCAGATAACATGCAGCGCAACATTGCTGGGCTGCAGAAGAGACTGAAAGTCACTGCCGAAAACAAAACAAACCTGTTGCCGTCAAGTCGATTTCCACTCACAGCGACCCTACAGGACAGAGTAGAACTGCCCCATAGGGTTTCCAAGGCTGTAATCTTTACGGAAGCAAACTGCCACATCTTTCTCCCACGGAGTGGCAGGTAGGTTTGAACTGCCAACCTTTTGGTTAGCAGCCTAGCACTTAACCACTGAGCCACCAGGGCTCCTGGAAAGTCTCTACAGGAAGTACTAAACGAAGAATCCCTGCTGCGAAGAGAAGGAGGTGTGCCTCCAACGCTCACACCCACCTGGAGCTGTGTGGCATAGTGCCCCAGCTTGATCTTCAGTAAAAACCCATCTTCCCCCACTTGGTGCTCGGCCTTCTTCTGCAGCTCCTGCACCAGGCCCTCCAGGAGCTGGGTGGCCTTAATGTTCTCCTGTGGATTATCAAGATCTATTGAGTCCCTAGGGGAAAAAAATTACATACATATGTATACATACATACACATGAGCCTGTATAAACGCAGCCTCAGTATATCACACCCCCTTTTTTTTTTTTTAATTAAAGTGATTTTCTCATAATGGTCACTGCAAATTTTAGGAAACAGTTCAGTATAAATTGCTTAGATCCCTACATTAGTCTATTCCTAATCCACAAATTACCTTGGTTGGACTGTTCAGTATATTTTCATTCTTGTCTTTACAATGTACTGCCCTTTCTCCTTCCTCCTGCTGACTTGCTCTGGTGCTTATGCTATCTGCTCTGAGAAATGAAGGGAAAAGGAAAGTGCTTTGTGTACTCTAAGGAAATAAGGGTTCTGATAATTTCCTATTTATAGCTATCCCCTCAAGGGTATAAAGGGGGCACAAAGCCAAGAATGTTCCTCATGTCCTTTCCAGCCTCAGTAAGTTCTATGTCTATGTTGCTAATTTCACACAGTATTTCCTAAGTAGAGACAGGTGAAACAAATACACACACACACACACGCACACACACACACACACACGCACACACGCACGCATGCACACACATTTTTTAATTGCTATTTCTAAGGAGCCCTGGAAATAAGACATTAAGGCAGAAGATGCCTACCAGTATTCAAACAAGCCAGACATTTCCATTATCGGTTTGCAAATTTGGGACTTGAAGGCAATGCTAACTCTTCCACCGACCAAGAGACACCACTCTAAGGACTTTGTATTAATTCAGAGCCACTGAACTGGTGACAGAGGTTGGATGGTGTTTCTTTCTTTTTTAAAAAAAACAACCTAAGCAACAATTGCTACTGGCCAGTAGTAAATTACTCAGCTCACTGAGGGAACCAGATAGCTGACAGGTTGAAATAACATTCAATTTTACTGCTGACCTGGACTGGATCTAAACAAGAGATCTAGTGGTAGCTAAAAGGCTCTGTCATCTATGAACCCCTGAAGGTAGCAAATAATTTCAAATAGACACACAAACAGGTGTACCAAAATGTCAGTGTTTTACTTCATCAAACGATATACCCAAATATTCACTTTGCAAGGCAGGAGATAAAGCTAACCTTTAAATATGTCTGCTCTGTGTTATTAAATAACATATGTATTAAGAAAAAGCTTGGAAGGAACGACGGGCAACCCTACTCCTCTATTGCCATTAGCAAAGCTCCTCACTTGGGGAACCCACCCTTGAGAAGATTTGGTCTCTGAGCAAAACTCACGGAAGTTAAGTACTGGTTCTTGTACTTGAAAACTTCATTCTCTGCTTAAAATAGACTTGCTTAGACAGTTAAACATGAAGAATTGAAGATTTTTTTAATTAAAATCTTCATTCGCTGAAGAAAACCAAAATGAAGTAAAATTTAGGTTTTCATTAACAACAACACACGTCTCTTAGCACTTGTTGAGTAAGAAGGCTACGTGGAAAATCAACGAAGTGAAATTTTAAATCTACAGAAACTTCTGACTACTGTTTTTCCGCATCATTCAAATCATTAAAACAGAAAAGGGAATGAAAAAGCCCTAAACAAGCTGCAGTTGACATTCTCACATTTAGCTTGTCTTTTTTTCTCACTTAATTACATGAGGCCGATATTTTTTTAATTGCCTAGAGACTGTTCTTCCTTCGGTACTCTCTAGTTTCTAAACAGAAATCTGCTACTAACATTCAGTTGCAATTATTCCAAGGCAACATCACTGACTTGTATTTAGCCCTGTTCAAACAGCAGCATAAAGGCTGGCTTCTCCCAAGGGTCTGTCCAAGAAGGTCCCTGTCTACAATGGTGGCGATCTGAAGTATCTGATGAATATGTCATATCAGACTGACAAACTGGTCACATACCAACAAGCGCCTAGGCACTGAGCAGAGCAGCGTACAACCTGCTGCCTGGTGTGCAATGATGTGGTCAATTATAAAGCTTTGTCGATAGCTGCCTGCATTTTACAGACTCTAAAAGACTATTAAAACGATTTCCCCCCACCCCCGAGTATGAAAACAGTAATTTGGAAAATAAAGAAAAATAAAAATGTTCATTAAATCCATCAACTAAACATAATTACCGTTCATATTTTGGTACATTTTCTTTTAGTCTCTATGTGTATATATAAAATACATCTTGATAAAAAAAAAACACCAGTGTATCAATTGTTAAATTTGTCAACAATATATTTACTAAATTACAGACATATACATGCTTTATCTGCCCTATTAAATACTAACTTCTTTAAGGACAAGGGCTTTAATTTTTTCATATAAACCCTACCGCCTACACTACTAAGCACCCTACAGGCACTGCAAACATATTTGTTGATTGCTGCTTACTAACAGCAATACACTAATGCTTTCAGCCAGTATTTACTATTAAAGGGAACAAATCCCATTTTAAAATCCCAAAGTTATTCTAGCTCCCTAAAATCTAAGATGGGGTTTAAGACCTTCTCATGGGTCACGTAAAATACGTTTTAAAACACACAACTTTTTTTTTCAATTTGCTAATATTTTATTTAAAAGTTTGCATCAATATTCATAAGTGAGGGGGTCTGTAGTTTTATTTTTTTGTACAATCTTTGTCAGATTAAAAACATGATTATTCTCAATTTCTGAAAATATCTAGATGTTCTTTCTTTTTCTTTATTGTGAAACAGTTTAAATAGCACTGGAAGTATCTGCTCTTAAAAAGTTTGGTGTAAATTTCCCTGTAAAACACGTAACTTTTAAAGTCTCAATCATGTCACCTTCCTAACCAAACACCAATATTCTGACATCACTAAATATTCTGAATTATTTGATGCAGAACATGTTGTCCACCTACCAAGCTTGGCTTTCAATCCACTGGGATAAATAATGCCGCACTTCGATGGGGAAATGCTGGCCATATAATGCTTGCATCTGATGGAGGGCATCTCCTTGGAGTTGCTGGGCTTGTATCCACACAGCCATGGTTTACAATCTGTTGAACAAACAAAATCAGGAGTTTGGTTTTTTGTTTTTTTTTTCCCTTCTAAATCCACTAAATATTCACACACTTATAAAAGCTGGAGGTAAAGCAAATGTTTTTAGCCCTTTCTTGCAGGCTAAAGATCAGTATTCTTGTACTGAATTTTAGCTTTAAAATGCTTTAAGAACTGTAGACCTTAGTGTGGCCGTGGGTCTAAGAAGCTCTGACTATAACACGGGCTGAAGCCCTATAAGCCTAAGTACAAAACCAGCATTCGAGAAAGACCTGCCAGCTGTAGCTTTGGTGTCACAGACGTACTCTTCATTTTTGCTCAAAATTATCAGCAACAGTAAGCAACATGTCAACAGTAATAAATAATTAGCGGAGGGATTTTTTTAAATCACTTGTTTTAGATTTGGTATTTTGATGTTTAAGAAATGCAATAAACATACTGTCATTTTGAAAAAGAGCTCAGTAAAGGAAAAAATGAAAAGATTTAACACATGGATTGAACCCTATGTACTATAATTAGTTACCTAAGGAGCCATTCTTTGCACACAAAGGGCATAGATTCATCTGGAAAAACACCCTAAGGCTCACCTTCTGAGTTACTACTAAGGAATTTATGAAGCAATGCTCTGTTAAATTATAGCATTTAAAAACCCTTCGGATTCAAAAACAACACATTCCAGCTAAAGGTTAGAAACAAGAACTATTCTGTTCCCCTAATGGGGAGGTTTCTTTAACATGCTCTTGATTTCAAATGGTTTTATAAAACTACCCTGACACCTCCTTAGACTCACCTGAGAATTTTTAACTCACCTGGCAGAGACTCTCAGGGATTAATTAGATTGTGGCAGCAACAATATTTTCATGTACATGGAAGGGACTAAAACTGAATCTTGCTCTAACAATATTTTCCATAACTCGGAATTTGATATAAGGCAGGACTATTTTGAATGCCATCCAAAATGATTCGGCTACTGATTTGCACAACTCTCCTACAGACTATGTTACAGCTAGGGTCCAGTGAACTGGAACTGGATTCTGTTGAACACCAGATACTGCACATGGGTGTTAGGAAACAAAAATTCCTTCTCTGCTAGCTGTAGCTGTCCGATCGCATAACATGAGCTATTTACGGTACAAGTCAGTTAGCCAACAATGAAGAGTGGGGTGGCTGCCAGTTATCTATTTTAGACTTGTGCAATGCTATAGAACATTTGAGCGGTGTACAATTTTATTTAGGGCTTTTAGGCATTAAGGCTGGGATCACTGTAAGATCACCCAAGACATCAAATTTCAATAGCTGAGAGTTTACTAGAAGAAAGACATGGATGAAAGAGCCCTCTCCAGAAGCAATTCAGCTTTATAACCAAACAGCACATCTGGAAAGCATTTAGTTATATAATATATTTTTGAAGCAAATGAAATATATTCCAAGATTTTAAAAAATCAGAACAGATACCAAATTATGTTTTTTGGATGGATGGATGAAGGGTGAAGGAATGAATGGATGAAGCTGCTTAATCACTTAAGTGTATGGAAGAACAATAAAGGAATTAAGGTATTCATCTTTCTTAATGGTAAAGAATTGGAAAGAATTAGGATGTCATGATAGCTCTCTTAATTAACACACAAATGATAACAACAGACATAAAAATTCTCTTGAATCCTGCACTCAGTAGCTGAATTGGAAGAAGGAAAATTGTGGAAAAACTTTTATCTCCTCAGAGACTCCTTCCCTGGCTACCCAGATAAAACAGTATTCTGGTCACCTCTGTCCTCTTAATCTGCTTTATTTTTCTTCATATCATTTATCACTTCCTGACATTTTATATTTCTTTACCAACTGTCTTCCCACTAGGATGAAGTCACCACGAAGACAAGTACTCTGTTTTGTTCACTGCTCTTTCTCTTGGGCCTAGAACAGTGCCTGGTACATAAGCATCCAATAATTTTTTGTTGTTGAATAAATGAACAAATACACACAATTTGGTCAAATCTATCAGTTTTTTTCAAAGTTATTATGGAACAAGAGAAGACATATGAAGACATGTGAATGAAACAGACTTCAATTTAACTGACAGATTATAATTTTATAATTTGGATAAGTCCCTGGGTGGTGCAAGCAGTTTGCACTTGACTACTAACCTACTTGACTACTGAACCCACCCAGCAGCACGTGGAAGAAAGGCTTGGCAATTTGCTTCCATAAAGATTACAGCCAAGAAAACTCCATGGAGCAGTTCTACTCTGTAACACACAGGGTTACCACGGTTTGGAATCGACTTGAGAGCAATGTTTTTTTTTTTTTTATGTTAACCATGGTCTATTTGTTCCTTAATAACATATGCCACAATTTGTGACTATTCCTTTCAGTTTTTGTTAATTTGTTTTTGTCTATTCTTCTCCACTGAACTCTAAGAAGGTTAGTGCAGGAAGCACATCTTACTACTGTGTTCCTAGCACTTAGTACAGTGGTTTGTACATGCTAAGTGGTCACTAAATATTTGCTGAGTGAATGAATACATAAATATATTTTTTACACATACTGTTGGCCAAGCACATTACTGGAGTCTATTATTGCTTTAAGAAAGAAATGTTGCTGTTGTTGTTAGGTGCCATCGAGTACATTTTGACTCACAGTGACCCCATGTGACAGAGCAGAACTGCCCCTAGGCTGTAATCTTTACTGGAGCAGATCGCCAGTGGAGTGGCTGGGTGGGTTTGAACCACCGATCTTTCAGTTAGCAGTCGAACGCTTAACCGTTGCATCACCAGGACTCCTTATAAGAAATACTATGATGATACACCACATATTTAGGGGTTCTAAATAAACTTCGTACTATTTTGTCTTAAGTTTTATATTAATTCTCAGTTTTTATCAAAGAGTGGAATGCTGAGGTCTTAGGACTTGTCAGGGTATTTTTTATGGTTTTAATTCTGTACACGTCACGGAAGTTATTTTCTAAAATATTATGCCATTTGAAGGGTAACAGCCGGTAAATATAAGGTGGCAATCACTTTGGCTTGATAAACACAATATACTTAGTTTCACTACATAAAATGCTTTGACAGAGCTGAAAAGTAGATTTTGCTTCTTATTAGTCAAAAGTGTAGAATAAAAAGTGTACTAGTTACTTAAAACCAAAAAACCAAACCCGCTGCCGTCGAGTCAATTCCGACTCATAGCGACCCTACAGCACAGAGTAGAATTGCCCCATAGGGTTTCCACAGAGCAGCTGGTGGATTTGAACTGCTGACCTTTTGGTTAGCAGCTGAGTGTACACTAAATAACTGGTACAGAATTATTTGCATTTTACTTTTTAACTACGAGTTATAGACACATGGCGCCCTGGTGGTGCAGTGGTTAAAGTGCCCAGCTGCTAGCTGAAAGGTCAGCGGTTTGAACCCACCAGCTGCTCTGCGGGAGAAAGATGTGGCGGTCTGCTTCCGTAAAGATTTACAGCCTTAGAAACCCTATGAGGCAGCTCTACTCTGCCCTATAGGGTCACCATGAATCGGAATCGACTCAACGGCAATGAGTTTGGTTTTGGTTTTGGTTTATACACACACAGAATATGAGATGACTCACTATGAGATTGTCATGTAACAATTTTAAATATCCAGTTGAAAAAAATTCAATTGTATCAATGAAACCTAGAATCTAAGTAGTGCTTTTCTTCATACACGTGAAACTTCTTCACAGACATTATCAGGCCGGGCCCGTGCCTAGCAGAAGCAGATTCCTTCCTTGCTAGTATTTACGCAGCCATCAAATGCAACTGTACACGCGCAGGGACTGTACCTCTGCCTCAATACACTTCTCTTCTGTTTATTTACAAGCAGCTCCATCTTCAGTGTGCGCTTTTGTGATGCAGAGGGAAGTGGTTTACCTTTGGTAAGTCATCATGAGGGCTCCTCTGGAGATTGGGAAATGGATTCACGATCTTATTTTTAGATGGGGACAGTTTGAACTCTGCTTAGTTGCACTGTTAGTGTTCACAAACATTCCAAACAACCTAAAACTGCTGTACTGCCTTGGATGCTGAATACTGTACTTTCTCAAGTATAAGGTATCTACCCCAACCAAAAACCCACTGCCGTCCAGTCGATTCCAACTCACAGCGACCCCGTCGGGTTTCCAAGGCTATAAATCTCTACGGAAGCAGACTGACACATCTTTCTCCCATGGAGCTGCTGGTGGTTTGGAACCACCGATCTTTCAGTTAGCAGTCAATTGCTTTAACCACAGTGCCACCAGGGCTCCTTGAGGTATCTACGTCAACATTATACATCAATATATGTCCGAGGGCGAACCAGTACACCAGTTGCCATCAAGTCGATTTCAACTGATGGGGACCCCATGTGTGTCAAAGTAGAACTGTGCTCCATAGGCTTCTCAATTGCTGATTTTTCAGAAGTAGCTCACCAGGACTTTCTTCTGAGGTGCCTCTCAGCAGACTCTATCACCAACCTTTCGGTTAGCAGCCTAACACGTTAACCGTTTGCACCACCCAGGGACTCCATCCAAGGGCTACGAAGTCCCAAGTAAACTGGACCCTTAGGCACTTGTTAATAAAAGATTCAAAGTCTGATAGCACACAAGGTTATATGCTTAATGAAAACCATAAAAATGAATATCAACATAAATAAATGATATAAGTATGAAGGGATAACTTTATCTCCATAATAAATTACTTCTTATCAGACATTTTCCCTTTTTCAAAGTAAAATATAAACTTTTATAAAGAAAAGCATTACTCTCTCCGAAGGCTTCCAAGACACACTGTGGCCAGGATTGCACCACAGCTAAGCTGTCGGGGGAGAGAAGTAGTATAGAGTGTGTGAGTGACCCCAGAGGCCACCTGAATGAATCAGTGAATGGAAGGTAATTCTAGCCTTGGGTGGAGGGTGGGAGAAGCGGGAGGTTTAAAACTGTGTGCAGAGATCTGGTTTGCTGGATTCACACATATAATTTAAAACATTTTATAATTCCTTTTCTCCAT